CTTTCTTTCTTTCTTTCTTTCTTTCTTTCTTTCTTTCTTCTTTTTTTCTTTTTTCTTTCTCTTTCCTTCTGTCCCTTCCTTTCATCCTCCCTCTTTCTTTGTCTATCCTTTTTCTTCCTTTCTCTCTCCCTTTTTCTTTCCCTTTTCTCTTTCTTTTCTTTCTTGTCTCTTCCTTCTCTCTTTTTCTCTTTCCCTCTCTTGCTTTCTTCTCTCTCTCTCTTTCTCTCTCTCTTTCTGTCTCTCTTTCTCTCGTTCCCTCTCTCTCTATCCTTTCCTTAACCTATCTATCTATTTTCTGCCCGGGCAGGTGTGGACTAATCTATCAAAGGCCTGGGCTAATCTGGCATCACCCTGTTTCCCCTTTCAGAGGCTCGTTTCCTCCTCCACAACCGCCTCTTTTGTCATCCCACGGCCATGACTTTACCTTCCTCCCGTGGTTGTCTGCCAGGGAAGGCAAGCCAGGACTGAGCTATTGGGAATTCTGGCAGTTGAAGTCCATGCATCTTAAAGTAGTTGAAGTTCTAGAACAGGGGTCCCCAAACTTGGCAACTTTAAAACTTGTGGACTTCAACAGCCATAGAATTCATAGCTGGCTGGAGAATTCTGAGAGTTGAAGTCCACAAGTCTTAACGTTGCCAAGTTTGGAGACCTCCATTCTAGAAGCTCTCTGGCTCTTCGTATATCCTGGCCCTGCTTCATTCTTGTGGTAGCAGCTTGGTAGTTCTTGCTGCCACAATTTATCTTCCAAGGGGTGCCTTGCATGATGCCCTGATCCTAACCTCTGACAATGGTTATTTTCTTTATAATCTCAAGCAGCAGAACCTGGGAAAATTTCCTTCTTGAAACCCCAGAGAGCTGCTGCCAGTAATGGCATCAACATGCCAAATATTTTGGCACAATACAAAGCATCCTTATAAGTTCAAGATTTCCTGTATCGTACTTGCCATTATTCCTGCATTTTTGCATAATATGGATTGTTCGTTTAGAATCAAATAGTGCTGGCCAGTTATGCCGACAAAGGGTACAATGAAGAAACTATTGATGCTGACTTGAGGAGAACAGTCCAGTGGCTCGATAGGGAAGAGTTGGTTGATTGCAATTTCCCTGTTTTGAAGCAGTTTTTTCTGGACTGCAGTGATGCGGCAATGCATTTATTGATTTTGTTTTGCATTTGGAAGTGTTGGTGCTATTAATGCTTTAAACACAGGCACAACACATTGGATGTGTGAAATGCTTTGCAAAGCTCCTACTGAACTCATTGACCTTTTTACTTAATCTGTGGAATATACAGGCAAGGCACTGAATGTCTTTTTTAAAACAGAGACCAAACTCTAGTTTGGATATTGTATGGGCCAGTCTTCTTAGGATTGACTTCTGTTACATTGGTGGTGATTTAATGAGCATATGTCCATGTGCTTTGGTGTGATAAGAATACAAAATATAACAAAGAGAATTAGAGAAGCCTTAAATCTTAACAAAAAGATGTGTTTTTAGGATTAATTATGTTATTGATTAAATTTATTTCATTCCCAGTTCTATCAATGTCTCAGTAAACATAAAGTAAAATCTAACATGTAAATTAAACCAGAAGCATTAAAAACAGCAATAAAAACAATTGAAAGGCTGCTTTGAAAGTCTGCCTTTATATTTATGGGAATACAAATATAGAATACTTGTTTTTATAAGACTTGCCTAAGAAGGTACAAAAACCTGACTTTTAAGGTTTTAAAATTTGCATAATCTTGTCAAACAATTATTTGATAAAGCCACACTCTGAATGTTTTAAAGCCTAAGTATTCAAATCAAGGGAAAATAAAATCCAAAAAACCTCAAGGGAAAAGCTGTTCAAGAGGGTGACAGAGAAGGTATGCCAACTCTTCGATTTTACAGAATAGACAGAGATAAGCGGAGAAAAATAGTCCCTCAGATATCTAGGCCCTATGTCATGTAAGGTGCCTTGTAGGTGATAACTATCACCTTGAATTGTATCTGGAAGTTTCCTAGTAATAAATACAGTACAATTAGGAAAGTTACATGGTTGTACTAAGGTTCTCAATAACTACTCATGCTCTGCATTCTGAACCAGCTGTAGTTTCTGAGTGGTCTTCAGGGGCAGTCCCGTTTAAGGCCTATTGTAATGTTCTATAGTGAAGTGACTTAGGCAGAGAATCCAAATAAATACCTCCTCTACAGTTGTTAGCAGCTTGTAAAAGGAATTATGTATTGGAAATTGTAATGAAGGTGGTAATCACATAGAACTACCTTAAAAGTTCCCCTTAAAGGTTCCCCTTGCACATATGTGCTAGTCGTTCCTGACTTTAGGGGGCGGTGCTCATCTCCGTTTCAAAGCCAAACAGCCTCTATGGTCATGTGGCTGGCATGACTAAACACCAAAGGCGCACGGAATGCTGTTACCTTCCCACCAAAGGTGGTCCCTATTTTTCTACTTGCTTTTGAACTGCTAGGTTGGCAGAAGCTGAGACAAGTAATGGGAGCTCACTTCATTACAAGGTGCTAGGGATTCGAACCACTGAACTGCTGACCTTTCAAATGACACTGAGCCACCGTGTCCCCTTCATCTTTACCCACTTCATCTTTACTCAAACATTTTTATGAGTCTCTATTTCTTTTATTTATTTATTTAGGAGATTTATATTGCTGCCTATTCACACATGTCAACTCAAGGTGGTTTACAAGAATATTTGCTATTGCTGTCTTTGAGTGCTATTTACAGATTGACGGTGCCCATGCTGAATCTAAAGCAGTATATCTCAATGTCATCGGCATTAACATGTGTGGACTTCAACTCACAGTTCAACTAGGAATTCTGGGAGTTGAAGTCCTCAGGTCTTAAGCTTGCTGAATTTCACAAACACTGATCTAAACCACCTTTCAATTCATATCTTGACCAGAAGTAGTCACAGGGACATGTTTAAATGGTATGGAGCTGATTTGACTTATTTATAATGGGGGGTGGTCTTCTTGCCAGGGAGTCAAACACTTATCCAAGATGGTGAAGAATATTTTGGGGGGCTAATAAGGGATGTGACATCAATGGATATTTAGTTTTGCATCAATTAATACATTATGTTCACAATGTCAGTTATTTTGTGAAAGTGCTCATGATATGTTGTTAAAACTCTAGGTAAGTCCTCTAGCACAAACATTGGATTAAATCCACCTTGGTTTATGTAAATCTAACGATCTGTTCTCATAGCCCTAAACAGATGTCTGTCAAGAATTATACATCTTATTTGTGCAAGGTCTATTGTATTATAGACCTTGCATTGGTCTATATATACATTGTATCATGCATTTTCAGAAAATGTCCAGTAAAGCACATCAAATAATATTAAAATGTATTAAACACAAACCATTAGCTGAGAGATATCAAAAGATGGCATGAATAATAAGGTTTCAACCTTGATAGCAGTATAGTACTTTTTCTGTAGGGGGATTTCCTTAGGTTTCTCTAAATTGGGTGCCACAACAGAAAAGGTCTTTTTACCAGTTGATGCCAATTGCATATTCCCAAATTTAATCTCCAGTGCTGCTAGTTCTTAACTTTTGTAGGCTTTTGAGAAAGACTTAAATGGTGGATGATTATTTCCACTAAAAAATTAGTGCTGAACTACAATGAACCACTGACCTACTCAAACTAACTTCCTCTTTAGATGCCAAGCAGAGTACTTCCACAGAGGTTTATTTTTTTCATTTCTAGAGGTGATTTTTAATGTAGATCATTTTCCCACTACTGCATTAAAGTACTATCTATCCTTGAGTCAGCAGAAAACTATGACATTTGCTGCCCCAGTGCTGATCACTATTCTCCCTCAATTGCTTTGTTCTCACTCACTGCTGAATGGTGTTGTCCTGTCTGTGCATGTGAACATGTGATAAGCAAAGAGATTAGTTCACATCCTCCCTTTTCTGCACATCACTGCCTCACAGGAAAAACAATTTGCCCATCAAGGCAATGCAGCAGCACAGTGCATGTCTGGATGCAGGATTCTGGTATCATCTCCAAACTGCTGCTTGTCCTCTTCCTCCTCTACTTTATTTTGTTGTAAACTGAACTGAATGCCATTCTGAGACAACATCAGAATGGCAGCAGATGAAACAGATCATGGATCATGGAAGAAAGGAAAAAATAAAAACAAAAAGCCCACAGCTTTCAGTCTGAAAAGGCCAAAAAGGGTCCCTCTGTTCCTTCCCACTACTGATCATCTGATTTCACCTTCTGGATAAAAAGTGGCAAAAGTGTCACAGATTTTACAAACCTTGTTAATGGGTGAGGGAAAAAAAACTGCCCTAAAAACCATTAAGATAAAAATGACTGAAGCGGCTCTTCCGAGTCTAGGAATGAGATGAAGGGAATGTCACAAGGACACAGTGAAAGCCAGATATGGTCATGGATATTTCTGCCCCACTTAGATGCAAGTGGGAAAAGAGATATTGACAGGTCTGCAAAGAGCAATTTGGCCCATTCAAAATTTGTTTAAGTCTTTGGATAGCTTATTTCTAAAGCAGTATTGTTATTAATCAAGAATGCAAACCCAGAGTCTTTGTGTTGTGTAAGATATTTTATATTAAACAGAGATGAAGAACTCATTGATTTTTTTTTTATATCCATTGCCTTCTGGGTTTTGAAATCTATATACCAGGTTAGTTCATTCTTATCCTTTATTCATCCCCACATGCCAGCTCTGTGATATCAGGCAGCAGCTATGTAAATATTTATTGCTGCTGCAGTTGTTAAATGTTGAAGAGAAAGGTTTGGAAGATCATTGTCTTGGCCTACTAATGCAGGAAACCCTTAATTCTGTCTCTGTAAAGATTCAAGAACAGGAAAAGTTGGTGTTTGGTTTTGGAGTGACGTTGATGTAACATTTAACTTCCTTGGTTCCTCTTTTGCTGTAGCTTGTCACTTGTATTAACGGTTGGAAGTCTGTCACCTCCTAACTAATGAAACATCCTTTTTTTCTGCCTGTTTGACCAGTGTGCTTCTCCAGTAGAAGACAATGGAACTTACAGATGTCTTCAGGCTTGACTTGGTTGAGACTAATGTTACAACAGCCACACTGACTTTTCTGGTGATAATATTGGTTCTCCTTGCTTGGTAAGTGGATTTTTGAATTAAGCTTTCTCAAATACAGTTTAAAGAAACAAGATCATGACTGTTTGGTTTCCAAACTAAAATTATTTTTGAAGAACAAAATCCACAGACTTTTGTGATACTATCAACTTAAGGAAGACTCTGTCCATCTCAGGAAGTGGACTCATTTCTTGCAAAAGGTTACCTCTGATAAAGATTTTAAAATAATCCCTTTAAAATAATCTAAGAAAGTTGAACATATGTGACTATGATTGTTTTTGCAACAAAACATTTTGTGCTATATTAAAGATTAATATATTTGTGAAATTAGAAATAGTTAAATTTATGGTTGCAGGAATTCATCATCATTATCAACTGGTTGCTTGTTTGAAAATTTAATGGCAGTTAAATTTTAATTAGACTCCTATGAAAGAGTTTCTGTGTAGATGCTAATGTAAACTATTTTCTGTACTCTGATTCAAACATGTCACTCAACATTATTTCCATAACAATATGTAGTTTGTGATTCTCCTTGACATAAACTATTAGAATAATCAAGGGCCTTTTATGCTATATTATTGAGATCAATGAATAGAAGGAAACAAAGAAATTGATTGACTTAATTTTTTAAAAAAAAACAGGCTCATGACCATAAATAAAACAAAATCTATTGAAAACTCATAATTAAATGGCTGTTATAAATGCCTTTAAACTGGGTGATTGTTCTTTTTCCTTTTCCTTACTCTAAGTCTCCATAGGAATTAATTTATATTTATGTGATTATTTTGTTTCAAAATAATGGGAATGAAATGAGTAATAGTTGTCAGCTGGAAATATTTTTTCTTCTTCTGATACATCTCTGCCTATAAGTTTTACTTTTCCAGCTCTACTATCTTCTGTTATCCAAATATTTTCTGCTTTATAATATTCCTATAAATCTTACCTCAAAACCCACAGATTCATAAATTTTTATGGGACTACCCTCTTCATTCCCATACCCATGAATCAATTTTTATGTTGTAAACTTTTTAGGGTAGCCTCAGGATTCTGTAAAGTGCAATGGGTATAAATAGCAGCATATAGTACTACTGTTAATAATCGCTATTACTGTTATCATTTATATACTTTACTGTATTTTTGTTCTGAGCACATTTGGAATTTTGAGAGCATGTCATTGGTCTCCTTCCAAAACAGCTATTGTTGGAACGCTTATTCACAAAATGGTTACAGGACTGTGATACAACATCCATTTATTATAAGACCAAATTTAGCTATATAGGATTCTTTGTATATCACTGCAACACAACATATCTTATTTTTTTTTTGTAGGTAAGTGAACACTTTTCCACATATAACACTGAACCAATTCCCTTCATTCTCATTTTGTTTTTCTAAAAATGCCAATTGGGCCTTTGGGGGAACTTTGAAAATAAGATGCTGTAGGTTATACATTCGTTTGTAGCATCACAACTTTCCATTTTCAATTAAAAATTAAAGTCAGAGTAGAGAACTACCTGGCAAATATCAAATAAAATGTTTATAGATTCACTGGTGTTAGTTAGCAGCATACTAATTCTGCTTTAATGATAGAAAGATAACTTGGATGCTTCTTTGAAAAATATTCCGTTGCATTCCTAGATTTTCCAAAATCTACTTTTTTCAAGGAGAACTTATTTTCATTTCTTTGGGGGGTCTAATGTATTACTCAGTTACAGGAACACAATGTATGTCTAAAGCTGAGGATGTGTGGATGTGCCTAGGAGAACTCTTTTAGGGGACCGTGTTTAAGGATGGATACTTTTTTAAAGTAGTCCTTCAAGTCAGCAGTTCTTTGCAAGAAATAGATCATTTTAAGCGGTTATCAAGCAACTCTAAAGAGTCTTGGTTTCTTAGTTATGATAATCGTGGTTTTGAACTTTCTGGTCCACTATCAACCAACAAATAATGTTCTGATTTGGTTTTGAGCCAATTTTGCAGTTATCTGAAAAGGATGGATGGATGACGGGTAGATGGATGAATGGATAATAGGTAAGCATGAGGATATAGATGCACTGAAAATACTGAGATTTAAATGAGAAAGTATTAAGTTATCAATGCTTCTGAAATTTTGAGAATGACCAGCGGTGTAGTTCCTCATCTGTAGTATTATTGCTATAAATAGTACATTTTAAAAATATTTAATTGAATAGGGAGATAAGTTGCTGCTGTCTGGCCTCGGTGTGTTTATTCCAGTTATGGCTTTACTTCTCCTGCTTGCGAATGCCTTGATAAAATTAATACAGGAATTTGCCTTTCATTTAAAGTTTAATGTGCCATAAGCTTGGCATTATGAAGAAGCCGTCACTGCTTTCAGATGTCGTTGTTCAAAGTAGAGTTTCACCAGCTTATCTAAACAAACCTAAGTGTTTGAAATGTGGAAATAGAGTTGTAGTTCTCTCTCTCTCTCTCCCTCTCTCCCTCTCCCTCTACCTCCCTCCCTCCCTCCCTTCCTCCCTCCCTCTCTCTCACACTCACTCACTCACTCACTCTCTGTATATATGTGTATAGTGTGTGAGTGTATAGAAGGGGTACATTCAAAATTGCTTGTTTCATAATTCTGAAATGGGCACTTAATGAAGCTTGTCTGCAATGCACACATTGTGACCTTCCCATTTTGTTTGAGATAAAGTCTCCCTCTATCCTTTTTTGCTTATTTTTTCAGTCCAGGTGCTAATCTCACATTTTCATATATGGAGGCGGCGGGTTCAGACTCTGTTCTTTATCTGATGCTGCTTAAAAATGTCTTCTGTTCTCAGCAGAGGTGGCAATATAAGCCCTTCTCTTGGACTGTGTCTATACTGCATGAGACTATTGGATGCAGCTTTCCCATGTTAAGTTAAACACTCAAATAGTGCTGCGATATGTCTCCCTTCTCAGCGTTGGAAGATTAGCACAGGCAGACCTGGGTCTTAAATGGCCTCTTTGTTAGACACATGTTGTGGAATGCCACGCTTTAAATGATATGCTGGCTGATAGAAGGGGTTTGTGAAAAGCAACCCTGATGTGCCTGGGCTAATGCTGGTAGTAAAATGTTTGCGCCACTTGTCACTTACCCTCTGCAAAGATAACCTTCATGCTTTTTGAGTGAGCAACTTCTTGGCTGTTGGCGTATGTATTGTTGTCAGTTCTTTAGTTATAGAACTGAGTTCTCTTGTGTTTTTGAAATGTGGCAATAGAGTTGTAGTTCTCTCTCTCTCTCTCTCTCTCTCTCTCTCTCTCTCTCTCTCTCTCTCTCTCTCTCCCTCCCTCCCTCCCTCCCTCCCTCCCTCCTTGTCTTAATAGAAATGGCTTAGCGTCATTTCTTCTATAGTAGAAGAGAATAAGACATTAGTCACTATATTCCATAGAACCACATAGCCAGATTTTGGGCTCAAAACCCTCACAGATGTTTTTTTGGCAAATGGGAGGAAGATCCCATCTTCCTTGCTACCATGAGATCTTTTGCTTCACTGCATTTAGTGGCTGTGTGACGAGACCACAGTGTAGTTACAGAACCCATTATTTTCATGCCACACCAGCTCCAGTGCTGGCCATTTCTGACTAAAAATGTAACAGGAAATATCTCTGCCTCAGACCCTAAAGATTGGTTGCTGAAACAAACTGTCTCCCTCCCATCTGATGCCTTCAAGGTTTGCTGGAGCTACAACTAGCAGAAATCTATTTATTTATTTTTATTTATTTGTTTGTTTGTTTGTTTATTTATAAATAAATTTCCAGCCATCACATGAAGCCAAAACTGAAGAGACCTCATTATGACTTTGTGTTTAAGTCAGGAATATAGTGTACCACAAGTTTTCCATGGCTTATCTAATTTTGCCTTAACGTGTTATGAGAACCCGGCCAATGTGGTTGTTAAATCATATATAAGTTTGGGCATAGTTTCCCGATCCCAGAATCATACTATCTCCTTTTTAAAGTAAAAAAACCCCAGTTCTCTGCTTGTGCAGCAGGAAGCAATTGAAAGATATGCATCACAAATTGGTTAGTTAGAATTAAAACAAGTGGTTCCGTGAAATATGTAAATGTGAGTAAAATAAGATTGCTTCCGTTGTGTTGGAAGAACTGATATCATTCTGTGTCAGGATTGCTACTTTGAGATAAGAGGGGACCTAAGAAAATTTGAGATGATAATGAAAAGAATTAGAGTGACTCTTATAACCAGAGCTAGAAGCACAAGAGGTAGTTATAAATGGTTCTGTCATGCATGTAGTCCTCAATTTGCAACCACAACTGGGACTGGAATGTCTGTCACTAAGCAATGTGGTCATTAAATGAGTCACACCTAATTTTACCACTTTTTGCCATAGTTGTTAAGCTACTCCGGTTGTATTTTTGTCTAGTTCACATCATTAAAAGTATATTTACATGCAGTCCTCCATTTCTATCCAGGGACAATTTAGTATGCAATTGAACAAAATCTACAGCACTATCCCTAATATAGTAGCTCAGTTAATATCAATAACACAATTATTCATTGAAGCAGCATTGCTTAAAATATAGCATCCTTCCAGTTCTTTAAAATGCAAATGATTGAAATGCCTGCCATAATAAATTTATATTCACTCAGCACCTTAAGATGTACCACTGTAAAGAATTCCATCACTAGGACAACAGACAGTAAAGTCTCTCTTTATTACCATCAATCTAATCTCTGACATTATGAAAAGAGCTTTAGTGAAAGATCCTGAAGCTCAAATAGATTGGAGGAAATGTTCTTTAAGATACTTGGCCCTCAAGTTTTAGATCTCAACGTCAAGAAACTGGTAAGGAATGTAGAACTGACAAAACTGAGGGTCCTTATTCTCAGTGAGCCACACCAACCCCTCCTTTCCAAATCTTGACTTCTGTTTGGTGCTTCAGATTATGTCCAAGGGGCAATGCAATGCATTCAAGTAGCCCAAGTGACGTGTTTCTAAAACATGGATCCCTCTCGATGTTCCTTTTGCATATTAGACTTGGTTTCTTTATGCAGATGGAAACCTGGC